CTCCATGACTCCAAGCTATATTTATTTATTATATTTATTCATAGCCATTATGTATTAGGTACTGTTGAGGGCCATCGTATTAAAATGGCATTTAAGCACATGTGATCCTGCCTCCATGATGCCTATAGCCTAACTAGGGAGACAGAAGATTAAAAGAAACAGTTGCGGGCTGGGATTGTGGCTCAGCGGTAGAGCGCTCTGCTTAGCACGGGCGGGACCTGGGTTTGATTCTCAGCACCACATAAAAATAAAGGCATTGTATTGTGTCCATCTACAAAAAAGATTCATTTAAAAAAGAAAGAAAGAAAGGAAGAAAGAAACAGTCTCTTTCAGTCACCAGTTTAATGTAGACACTGACCTCGGTAAATTAAAAATGAAACTAGAAACCCTGTGGTCAAAGAAATGATAATTTGTCAACACAAAATGTCTGCTTCTTATCTCCTTGCTTTGTAACTCACACTAGAGTGATCACCTCCTGAACCTCTGTTCCCTTACAGGTGACAGTCAGTAGGCTCTCAGAGATGAGAGCTCATGATAAAGTCTGTTGTTTTTCCATAACGAAGCCTGTACTTCCTTGGGTAGAAGTGGGACTGTGTAAATTCAATAGTGGACACAATACTAGACCCGCCTCTAGCATGTAATTCATAGAAAAGGCCTGTAGAAATTTAACTTCTAGCTTACAATCCATTCCTCTTCCTTCTCCTGGACTAATCATAGGAGGTATTCTCTGCAGAGATGCCTTTGAAATGCTAACCTCTAATTTTGGCCCCCGGAACTCCACAGGACTTCATAGAAGATATCAACCCCAGTTTCACCAGACTTCACACTTCCCCTCTAACCATTTCTCTGCCAGATTTCCTCAGGTTAGCATCCTGTCCCTGGTACAGGTGAAGAGTTCGACGTAGGGCTCTCTTGACCTCTTGGTTACGCAAGCAGTAGATGATGGGATTAAGCAAAGGTACAATGACAGCATAGAGTACAGAGACCAGCTTGTTGGTGTCAAAAGCAGAGAGTGCTTTAGGCCGGGCATAGATGAAGATACTGGCTGCATAGAAGATGACCACAACAGTGAGGTGAGAGGCACAGGTGGAAAAGGCTTTATGGCGTCCGGCGGCGGAGGGGATGCGCATCACAGCACCAGTGATGGCCATGTAGGAAGCTCCAGTGACAGAGAGTGGTCCCAGAAGGATAAAAATGGCCAGAACAAAGTCTGTAAGTTCTGCTGTGGACATGTCAGTGCATGAAAGGTTGAGCAATGGGGAGACATCACAGAAGAAGTGGTTGATGATGTTGGGGCCACAGTAAGAAAGGCGAGAAATGAGAAAAACTTTGACCATGGAGATGCCAAAGCCTCCAGCCCAGGAGCCAGCAGCTAGCTGTACACACAGCCGGCCACTCACAATGACAGCATAATGGAGAGGATGACAGATGGCCACATAGCGATCATAAGCCATAACAGCAAGAAGGACACACTCAGTGCAGCCCAAGCCCAGGAAAAAGTAAAGCTGGGTCATGCAACCCTCAAAGGAGATTATCTGTCCATGATTCTGCTTGGACCCAATGAAGCCAGCAAGCATCTTGGGAATAGTGACAGTGACATACCAGATCTCTAGGAAGGACATATTAGCCAGAAAAAAATACATGGGTTTGTGAAGGGTGGAGTGGTTCCTAATAGCCACAATGATGAGGGTGTTTTCAGATAGCACTAACACATAGGCCAGCAGAGAAAGGGAGAACAACAGTGCCCGCAGGGGCACAGGAGCTGGGAAGCCCAGCAACACAAACTCACTCACTCTCCCACTGTGGTTCCTCCGCTCCATGTCAGTTTTGTCCACAGTTCTTCAGGAGATGGAAATGGAGTGTCTTCAAGAGGCAGCCTCAAGAACCTAGCTTTTCTCTTGGTGGGTTTATGTTGATAAGATGCAGTATATAGAGTACATATAATTAATCACTGAGCTGAGAAATATGATAACACAAACATGCACAAAAATAAATAGGTTTGTTTTGGAGACAGAATAGAAGTTGGTTCTGGCACTTTGAGAAGCATGTATTGAGAAACACCAAGTAAGATGATGCTAGTTGATCCCAAGGTCTCTCTTTGGTCCTATACAAAAGCAAGAGGGAATGATTAAGATCATCAATTTTGATAATGAAAATAAAGTAGTAATAAATTTTCATAAGCAAAATTAAATAAAAATAAACCCAAAATGGTGAGTTTCAATTGCCCTAAAGTGAGAATTTGTCATAAGTTGGATTGTGATTCTATTGTGAGGAAATAAATTTCAGAGTGGAGGAATGACAATACTATATAACACATCTGAGCATTTACTGTGCATTATTATTGCAGGCACTGCAGAATTAGTTCACTTGATCTTCAGGAAAATCTTTCAACTACTCTGAGTAATTGCCTCACTTAATATCTAGGGAAATTGAAGTATAAAGAGATTAAGAGACATGCTCTAGGTCACATAGATGGTAAGAAATGAGACCAGGAAGTTAGGACCTTGATACTTCTAAAATATTCAGGTGATATGCAGGATGGAATGTAAGATATATCCTAAATTCACATATAGGAGAGGGAATTGTTGGGATTCAGCTAAACAAGCAGTTCCTACCTGAAAAGAAAAGAGACCAAAGCAGAACACCAAAGGTTACAACAACTGTAGGATGAAAGTCCCACAAAGCTCAGCACTCAAGGGGAGGACATGGGACACACTGGAAAATCAGACTAGGAAATAGATGCCAGATGTCAGAAGAACTGACAATCTCATCAGTTATAAAAGTTGTGCTAACTCTCTTGCAATGAGAGTAGAGCACTTTCTTTTAGCCTCAAGACCAATTTACATTTGGTGGACCACTCTCTGTTTATCTTGATATCAAAGACAAATTTTTCTCTTTTGAAACTTCAAGTTTTTCTGGGCCTGATGTGAAACAGAAGCTAGCGTTTTCACATGATGATTGATTTGAATAAAGGACTATTTTTCACCCCACCCCGTGTATGATCATAAATTGAGAGGAGTACACAAATTAGAAAGAATGGACTAGACAGTCAGCTGAATACCTCAGTACTATTTCCTCTCACAACTTTTCTTTCCTTTTACTCTTAGACCTATGAAGACCTTTACTCTTAGCTTCTATGAGGTACTAGCAGCAAAATGTGCTGGCAAATCAAACTTTAACCTGCTAGTGATTTTATACCTGAGATTCTCATCTCTTTATACTCTGTTGTCGTTACTTGAGCCCTTGACATTTCTCTCAGTATGAGTGACTTGCATTTCCCATCACCTCTGTTCTTACCATCCTCATCCAAATATTGTTTGTTTCAAAATTTAAATGGATCAATGATGTTCCAGATTATCCATAAGTTACAAGTTTGTTGTACATAAGGGTTAATAGTGTTTAGGAAGCTCATGATTTAGTAGTAGGAATCTATCTTCATATTCTAACACATAAAAGCTTACACTGCCATGTCCATCTCCCCATCATGCACTAGCTTCCTAAGTGGGAACTCAAACTTGCAATTATCCTTTTTGACCTTAGCCTTGGTCTTTTCTCCTCAATAACTGACTTGTATGCCATTCATTGGGCTTTGGACCCCCTTGGCCTCAGACCTGCCCACTTATCCTTTAATAGAATAGGATAACAGAAGACTGTCTTAACATTTGATGCTCTGCAAACTTGAAAATAATAAAACTTTCACAGGTGAACTCCTAATTGGTGTCAATGCCTGTGATCTCACCCCCACACCTCAAATCTCCTTCCTCTACTCCTCTACTTAAAACCTGTCCACAGTGCCCCATTACCTACATAATAATGTTTGAACTATTTAACAAGACCTACAGATATTTGATCTGCCCTTACTTTCACCAAAATTTTGCTTTTTGCCACAGTCCCCATTGTCTTGTAAGTCCTGAAGCTCTAAGCACATGTTATCACCACCTAACTCTGCTCCTGTTGCTGTGTCGTGAGCATGACTGACTCCTACTTGCCTTTAAGTCCTGGCTCATGTGGCATCCCCTCATCAGTTACTCTTTTTTTTCCTTTTGCCTTTGTAGTTTGGGTGAGTTACTTCTCATTACTGCTCCCATTAAATAATGTGAAAGCTTAAGTACCATTTTATTTGCTGTATCACTGCTGCCATTACTTAGATAGATATAAAAGAGGAGCTACATAGTTGAAGTGGCCCCATATATTGTTACTGACAAAACAAGGAGTGGACATAATTTCCCAGAAGTCACTAGAGTTTCTCAAATGAAATGTATTCTAGAGAAATCCTTCCCAAACCCATTATTCCTCTATCACAATGAATGGCATTTGTTTCCATGGAGTCACCTATGCCAGAGACCTGGAAGTTTCCTAGATATTTCATGCTCATCCTCCTCCTGCCCCACATTCTACCCACAGTAATCTAAATCCTATCTAAACTGTCTGTTTCACTGTCCCTCAGGTCTGTCTCCTTTCTCCTGTCCTGTTTCTACTGCCTTTTCTCTAGACCCTTATAGCAGGTCCTTGCTATTTCTTAACTTAGTGATTTCAATAGTTTTCTTACCTTGTCTTTCTTACTCCAGACTGAACTTCCTCATTCTATTCTTCCACTTATATCTGGAGTGACCATGAGGGCATTCAGTATTGACAAACACTTATGAAATCCTCCAAAAAGCCATCAAAATGTGTTTCCTTTAACTGTTCCACAGCAGTCATTGCCCACTTTTTCCCCTAAACATTCCATGATGTTTTCTCACTCAGTGACTCAGCACATATACTTTTCCCTATCAACAAAACTCACCCTGCTCCCAGGAATTTATATTTATCTTTCATGTTTTCATTCTTTATTTATCACTCCTCCCAAACTATCCATATTCTGCAGACATAGATTATTAACTGGTATCTCTGTCTCTCCTGACAGTATTTCCTATTAGAGGGTCTTCTTTAGTTAGCAAAGACACTATAATGGCTATATGGATGCATGGGTGGATGGAAAAGTAGAGAAAGGTATAATAGGCACAGAAGAGATGAACTGCAAATAACAGGAGTGAAATATAATGAAGGCAGAATATAAAAAGGATTTGAGTAGAAATGATCACAAGTGGAGAATTTCAATAGATTACCAAAAAGTTTGACAGATTTGGAAAGACCCACTGATTGTAAATCTTCAGGTGCCAGAAAAAATCATGAGGATGTTAGATTAAGTGCAGGAAAATTGGACTGTCTAGATAATAGTTATGGTATTAGGGTGAGATGAACTCGAAGTATAGACTATAGATTCAATGAGAGAATATTAGGTGAAGATATAGAATAGGGAAAGAATGGACTAGTAATAGAAGATCATAAAGGACATAGGAAGAACAGGCAGAATAGGTATAAAGAACATGAATGAAATAGATGAAGAAAGTGTATTGGTCTGAGTATCAATAGAATGGACCAGATTTGGACAATATTAATACGAGTTCAGAGTTCTGTTAGGTGTAGAGAGGAATAAGAAAATGGAAGTATTGAGCAAAATAAAGAAAACATGGGAGAACTGACCACTTGAAGAGAAATCAGCAAATAATAGAATCTACTCACTCTTTTAGATAAGATGGCTAGACTGGTTAGCAGAGGACTTAGGGAGTGTATTTAAAAGACAGTTAAAGCATAAGGGCAAAGAAAGATATAGAGACTCCACCTTCTCTTCCTTCCATATCAGAGAGCTCTGCCAAACAAAGCAAGATCCCTTTATCCTGCACTTAACTTCCTTTGGCCTTTGTTTTCTCCTCCTCCTTCTGATGCTTTGGGATGGTTCCAAGGCAGGAGTCCAAGAGACCAAAAAGAGATACAAGTGAAATGTTTGGGAAACTCAGTAAAATAATTTGGGGCAATTTACTTAACTTCTTTGAGCCTTAGATTCCTAATCTACTTAACAATATTTATGTGCCTCACAGAGTAACTGAGGAGTAAATACTATAAGACATAAAGTGTGTGAACTATGATGGGGACCCCATTTCTCTCCTGCCCTTATCCTTTCCTTTACCTTTGGCAACCACTAATCTGTTCTCTATTTTCATATGTTGCCATTTTAGGAATGCTATAAAAGGAATCATACTCTATGCAATCTTTTGGAATTGGATTTATTTTTTTTTCCAGCATTTTGCTTTTCTTTTCTCCAACATTTTCTGGAGAATCACAAAGAAAATAAAAAACAATTGATTGTATCAATATCTGGCTTTTCTTAACTATTGAGTAGCATCCCACACTATGGATATACTTTAGTTTAAATATACAAGAGTTGAATAATATCTGGGTTGTTTTCAGGTGGGGCTATTGTGAATAAAGCTACTATAAACATTGTATGTAGTTTTCATGTGAACATTTGTTCTCATTTTTTCTGGGACAAATGCACAGAGTGCAAGTACTGGGGTGTATGTGAATTAAATGATCAGTTTTTTTTAAAGAAACTCTCAAACTGTTTTCTAGAGTGGTAACCACATCTTATCACTGACAGAAATGTATGAGTTATACAGTTTTTGTGCATCCTTGTCATCATTTAAAGTTGCCACTATTTTTAATTTTAGTGTTTTTGGTAAGAGTGTAATGATGTCTTGTGGTTTCATTTGCATTTGGATCTTAAATAACACTCTTCTAGGTAATCAATGGATCATAGAAGCAATCTCAAAAGATATTTTAAAGTACATTGAATGAAAATGAAAGTAGTATTGGATAAAAGTCATAATTTTGTGGGACATAGTTAAGCAATGCCAAGAAAAATTTTATGGCACTAAAAACACATTTCTGAAGAATAGAAATTCTGAAATTGACACTTTAAGAACTTAGAAAAATAAGAAGAGTAATATCAACACAAAGCAAACAGGAAGAAAAAATCATGAAAGAGCAGAAATCAATGAAAGTAAAAACAAAAACAAAAAGAAAATTAATGAAACAAAGAGCAATTTTATGAAAAGAATAGTAAAGTTGACAAACCTTTAAAAATATTACAAATAAAAAAGGACACAAATTATCAATTTAAGG